GCCGGAGCTTTCTCCCAAGCCGACTGTTAACGACCTCCAACAAGCTCTCTTCGGGACGGCCTGACTTAAACATGAACAGGGCTCCGTGGCACCTGGAGGACGAGAAAGGGACCTTTTTTTGGCAACACTCATTTATTGAGTGGGGGCTTTTATTGAGAATGTAAGGTCAGACTGTCCCTGAAGCAACTGGGGGAGTAGGCCTTCACCCAGGGGTCCAACAGAGAAACTACTCGGCACGTCCGGGGATTTGAACCTGCGACCTTGTGATCACCGGCACAGCATCCTAACCCAGTGCGCCACACAGCGCCCAGGAACGAGAATAACAAAACCAATGAGAGGAACAAAGGCAAAAATCAGCAGTGTTGGTGTCAGAGTAGCAGGGGAAATCAAACACAGAATGGACATGTGGTCACGGTCGGGCTCAGACCGAGGGCGGGCAGAGGCATCAAGGCCGGGTTTGCGAATCGTGGAAGAGGGAAGAAAAGAGAGGAGATAAGGACTGGGAACAGAGAACTCAGCAAGTGTGCTGGTCACCCCAAAACCAACCACCCAGCCAAGAAGCATTTTTAAGCAGACAACAAGATCTATACACCCTGTGACATACAGCTGGGGTAGGCGTGGTAGGGGGCGTGTCAGGGGGGCGTGGCCATACCTGGCGATGCTGGTGACGAAGGGCTGCAGCTCCTTGGGCTCGTAGGCCCTGGCGAAGGCCCAGCAGACATAGCAGGCCGCATCGCGCACGTTGGAGCCCACGCTGCAGGCGCCCCTCTTCTCGTCGTACGTCAGGGCCTTGGAGATGAGCGGCACCACTGCAACGGAGGGGCGGGGCGGGGGTCTTTATGAAAAATGGTCATGCATCCATCCATCCATCCATCCGCACCGATTTAGTGCTGGGTCACCGTGAGCCCGGAGTCCATCCGAAGATGCACAGGATACAGGGGAAACCCAGGACAGAACAGAACCCACACACTACAGGCAATTCGGAGAACCCTAACCTCCTGAGACCCAAGGAAAAAAGTGCCCTTCAACTTTAGGTTATTTGTCTTTGGAGGAAATAAGACATCTTACAATTTAGATTTTTTCAAATTTATTTTTATTTTTAATTCCACAGCATGTCCTCTTTAGTGTACAACAGGAATAAATATGTTTCCCAACACCAGTGAAAAGATAGATGCAAAAATAAAATGTCCACTACAATGGACATAAACGAATGGGTGGGGTCTCAGGAGGATATACAGCTGGGATACGTATTTAGGGGGGATGCAGACGGAGACCAGTGTACCCGGAGGAAGCATGCAAACAGGTGTAGAACATGCAAACAGCACACTCAGGGCCTGGGGCAGGAACTGAAACCTAGAACCGTGAGGCATGAGGCTACAGTGCCACCTACTGAGGCACCGCGGTAGGGCAGGGCGTTCACACGACACACTTCAGCGAGTGATACACGATCCCCATCTGCAGGTCACAGGGTCAGGGGCTCAGGGGCCCACAGGGTCAGGGGCCCACAGGGTCAGGGGCTCAGGGGCCCACAGGCTCAGGGGCCCACAGGCTCAGGGGCTCAGGGGCCCACAGGCTCAGGGGCTCAGGGGCCCACAGGCTCAGGGGCTCAGGGGCCCACAGGCTCACGGGCCGGCCATAGCGCCACCTGCGATTCTGACAGCAAAGAGGGTAATGCGGCATTGTAAAACGACGCGACAGCATGCATGACATCACGATCTGCT